TTGCTGCTGGATAAAAACTGTCTTTATGGCGTGAGGTTTTGGTCCTGATGGTTGAAGTGAAGTGAATCAAACGTGAGCATGATGCTTACTACCAGCAAGGTTGTAATTAGAACATAAAAAAAAGTAATGATAATCTTGTTCAATGTTGGGATTAAAGGAACAGTTCAATCGATGATCAAATTGATGTACAATTTTGCCACGTATTGTATTTGCTTATATCTTGTAATTTTCCGGTGAGGTCTCCCTCCCCGGATGCCCCTGGGCTTGTTTTTTTTTTGGTTTCCAGAGTCAGTCAAAACCAGAAGGCCTTATAGTGTCACTATAAAAAGTGTGAGAACGTCAAGTGCTGAATGGAGGAAGAAGAAGAAGAAGCCAAAGAAAAGCTGAAAAAGACTTAGAACTGAACAGTTGAAGACCTAAAGAGTGGAAGACTTTAATGGGATTTGAACCTGCAACTTCTCAAACTGGAGTCAAACATTCTACCATTGAACTTTACCCCAGTCAGAAAGGTTTCATAGGACTAAATAGGAAGAATTTAAAGGGACGAAATGCCAGTGACCAGCAGATGGAGCCATGCTTTCGACTCCATTCATTTCAATGAGAGAAAATAAAAGCAGAAACAGTTAAGTAACTTAAAAAGTTTAAAAGATTTGAAGACCAAAAGTCATAGCTGCATAGCGCTAAATGAGCTGAACGTTTTGAGACCTTATGTGTTGAAATAGGCGGGAAACTGTGGGAGTAGTTAGACGCAGAAAAAGAGAAACAGGAAAACAATAGTGTTATAGTTATAAACGTGTACAACAAGGTTAAAGCGGCTCCAAACGGGGAGGAAATGAATGAGCCAAAACAAAAGCCTTGTAAGCTAACAGAACCAAAACAATAAAAGAAAATGTATTTCTTGGAGGGAGTTCGGCCGGTTTGACCTCTTTTCTAGTAGCTGTTTCTGCTTTTTTTCTAGAATCAGACCCAGAAGGCCTTATATTGTTATTATAAACGTGTACAACGAGGTCATAGCGGGTCTAAACAGGGCGGAAATGAATGAGCCACAACAAACCCTGAAAGCTAACAGAACCAAAACAACCAAAAAACAAATTGTTTGACCAAAATTGTTTGACAAAATTTCTTTTGTCTTTATTTTCC